CATAGACAGAAGCGTTCGGAGGTCCGCGCGGACTTCCCGGGTCGGCGCTGGACCGGGGCGCGGCGCCAGGAGCGCCGCCAGGGCGGCCCTGGCTCCGACCCGGGAAGTCCGCTCGGACCTTCGACACCGAATGTGCACGCATGTTGTCTTCGTTCCTCTGGGAGGGGAGCCCGAACGAGGAGGAGGAGTGGAGGGAGGTGGACGAGGAGGAGGAGGAGGAGGAGGAGGGGCGGGAGAAAAAGGAGGATGAAAGGGAGGAGGAGGAGGAGGAGGAGGAGGAGGAGGATCACGACAAGATCGAGGAGGCGGAGGAGGAGGAGGAGGCGGAGGAGGAGCTTGACATTAAGGAAGGGGAGCATCATCACCAGCAGCAGGAGGCGATTATATATATATATATGTATATATTTATGTATATATATATATATATATATATATATATATATAGGGAGGGGAACGCTGTGCGGCCTGGTTTTTGCAGACCGCACAGTGTCAAAAATTAACGTTTCACCGAGGCGAACCTATCACTTTGTATAAACATTTATCCAAACACACTGTGTTTTGCTATTTTTGTTTTGCAAAGCGCACGGCAGAAAAAAAAAACAACAATGTAAAACATAAAACAACCAAGCAAGCATTCTAAACTAGATCGCAAAACGCATTAAACAACAATCGGCTTCCAAGTTTTTCGATTGTGCTAACATCAAGGAAAAGCTATATAATTCGCACTTAAAGAATCGATGAATTATTGCGCTTTTTGCTGCTATTCTGTGGTTTCAAACAGGAAACCAATCTTTTTCATCAAAAACAGAAGGACAAGGCACGACTAGCATGTGTTCAAATAGTTTCTTGTTTATCATTTTCGTTAGGGAGTGCTATATAATTCGCAATTCGAGAACCGATAACGAAACGCGTCTTTACCATACTTCTAACGTTTGAAACAGACAAACACATACTTTGATTTAAAACAGAAGGTCGACAACAAAATGTATGTGTTGAAAGATTCTCTTGTTTACCATTTTCTTTAGGAAGTGCTATATATCGCAAATTCTAAGAATCTGAGGGTTGGCGGAATTGCATCAGCCATCTGCATATAAGATCTGCTACACGAGTGCAATATATTTTACACAGCGCTTTGTCAATGCATCAACAAAGTCTCAAGTGCCCAATTCAAACTGCGAGACAACAGTATCATATACGTTGCAATCGTAATATGCTCCATCCCCTCTTTTTGGTTAGCCGGCTTAACCAATTCTTCATGTCTCAATGAGCGATCACACGAGCTTGGTTGTTTCTGCGTGCGCAAGAGAAAAGTGAAGTTAAGTTAACGACTTTGCACGTCCAGACTTCATATTCGATTGGTTTCATATGCGGCAGCTCTTCCTTTACTTTTTTTATATAGCTGGAGCCCAAGATCGGCGCCAGCACGCACATCAAGAATCGCCCCCTGATGTCCCAGAGCGTGAGGTGCTTGAACGTCTGCTTGCGGGCGGCAGCCGCGGACTTCCCGTGGTTGAGGCACGAACGTTCCGCGAGAGACTTCGGCCAGCCGTAGATCGGCGACTCGGGGTCATCGCAGGCCATCTCTGGGAACTCCAGGGCAGCGTTGTCCATGTTGCTCTTCGGCCCGTGCTCCTTGATGTAGTCGAAGCCCTTGCGTTTCGAGCCCACATCCGTGGGCCGCTTCGGAGCGCTCGAGCCCACAACCGCATAGTATCTCACCTGGAGGCCTGGCAACCGTTCAAGTTGATATCGCAGTGCTCTGGATCCATCTCTGAAGTGCTTGCCGTAGCCCACCTTGTACATCGACCCGTGGCACATCTGAAATGCATCGATGCACTCGATCTTGTTATCCTTCTCCATCGTGAACAGCTTGAGCAGGCTGCGCGTGTTGTCAGGATTCTTCGCGATGAACGTTTGCATCGTGTAGGGCAGGTCGCTTTTGTTGGCAGGCTTCAGATTATCAGGGTAGTTCTCGTGGCAGTTGGACATGGTAATCCTCTCTAACTCCTTCATCTTTGTCATTATTTGTTCAGGTTGGTCCGCCTCCAGGTGCGGGTGTGGGCCCTCGTAGGGATGCGCGAAGTCCACCCATTGAGCGAGCTTGGTCGAACCTTCAGCGGGGATCATCGGAAGGTTGCCCAGCCACGTCTGGTCGGGCCCGACGTCTTCAGGCATGGGGTTATTCGCGATCGGCCGGGACAAGAGCGGGCTGCGCTTCTTGTCCTTCGTACGCACGATCGCGTCCTCAAAGGTGATACCACGATCATATGTCACCGAGAAGAACCGCGCGAAGCTGTCGGCTCTGGAGTTGTGGGCACTGGCCATGATCGGGAGTTGTGATCACTGGCCGCGGAAAGCTTTCAGCTTGAGAGAAAAGCTTGCGGAAAATGCGCGTGACACGATCACTCGAAATGCTTGCGCGGGGGGGGGGGGGGGTAAGTGCTTTCTGGGGCCTGACGGAATGGGTTAACTGAAATAATTACCCCCAGCTCTGAATCAATATGATTTCTTTTTGGATTTAAAAAATAAAAAAAAAAAACTATTGAAAAAAGAAAGAGAGAGAGAGAGAGAGAGAGAGAGAGAGAGAGAGAGAGAGAGAGAGAGAGAGAGAGAGAGAGAGAGAGAGGGAGGGAGAGAGAGAGAGAGAGAGAGAGAGAGAACAAACAAGGAATTATGTTTTTAATATGTTTATATAAGAGAAAACACACAAAAAACTGAGGGGGGGATCCTGGAAATATGTCGTCCGTTGTTTTGTGTGTTTTCTTGGTTTTCCTTAGGTTTTTTTGCTTTTCAAGTCCAAACCCAAAAAACATTGTGCTTTCTGTTGTTTTCCATCCAGAAACCAAAAGCACTCGTGCTGTTTTGATTTTTTCAGCTCAGAACCCAAAAAACCGAAGGGAACAACACAATCCGAGGGGTGGTCTTTTCCAAAGATTTCAGTTTTTTTTTTTGTTTTTTTTTTTTTTGTTGTTGTTGGGGTGTGGGGGGGTCCTTTGGTTTTTTTGGCTTTCAGTGCAAAAGCCGAAAACATGTTGTTTTTGTTTTTCCATCCAGAAACCAACAACAAAAAACACCGCGTGTGTTTTTTTGGAGGGGGTTCAGTTCAGAACCAAAAAACCAAGGAACGACAACAAACAAATCCCTTGGGGGGTCTTTCCCCGAATATTTCCGCAGGGATTGTTTTTTTTGTGTGTTCCTTTGGTTTTCCTTTGGTTTTTCACATCAGAACCAAAATACATGTTTTTTTGTAGTGTTGGTTTTTCAGCTCAGAACCAAAAACAAACAAAGGGAAAACAAAAAAACAAAAAAAAATCAAAAAAAAAATCTGTGGGGATTTCCACAGGACCTCCCCAGGGATTGGTTTTTTGGTCGCGCCTGCAGGAATCCACGCACAAGCTCTGGGGATCTGTTTGGGCGTGATGAGTTTCTTATTGTTTCCCGCGCGCTTCACCGAAGACCCCTCCCGTCGTCTTTCCCACCGAAAGTTCTCGGAGAACGTTTTTTTGGATTCAAGTCCAAAGGCATCTCGGGCGGCCCCGCAGATCTCTTAAAATCAGGCCGCACAGGGTTCCTTTTCTGTACATGTATATATATATATATATATATATATATATATATACACACACAAGACTGCAGTGGCGCTTCGCGCCATGCACCTGGCCCTTAAAGTTTGGTACGCAGGCGGAATAGCAGGAAGGTCAAGCCGACAATTTAGAGATAACTCCTTGTTGCATTTTCCGGCATCGCCGCTATAATAATGTTATTCGCTATCCTTCCTCCATGCTTCTTTTTCTTTATTTTCGCTGTGCCCTGCGCATTCCCCCCATCCTCTTCAGTTTTTTTTGCGAAGGCTCCTCCTTGGAGAGCCTCTGGGGGCCTCACAAAAGTTGTATCAGGCTTTCTTACGGCCGTCTGGGGGCCTCCTGGGCGTATTCTGGGGGCCTCTGGGGACTTCCTCGGGCCACCCTGCCTCCAACCGCGGGCGGTCTCCCTGAACGACCTGGTCACGACTTGGAATGCTTCGGAAGGTGTCTTGGGGCCATATTGGGCCGCCATGGGGCTCTCTGAGGGCCATATTGGACCCGTGTCGTGCCGTTTTGGGGCTCTCTTGGACTGCCTGGAATCCCTTTCGGGTGGTTGTGGGGCGATGTTGGAGCTTCCCAGGCGGCTTCGGACGCCCAGAAGACCGCCGTCTTGGAGCGTCGGGAAGCCGAAAAGAGGAGAACCCCAAAATTCAGCAACAACCAACAGAAAATCAAAAATGTGTGCCTCTTGGGGCCTTCTTGGGAGTGCTCTTGGAAGCCTCTTTGGGGCCGTCCTGGAGGCCTTTTGGGCCATCTTGAGGTCACGCCGGTCACTCTTGGAACTCTCTTGTGCTGTCTTGGGGGTTTCTGGGACGTCTCCGATGCCCCCCCTGATCGCCCTAGGTGTGCTGGGAAGGCTTGGCAAAACGCCCTGCGAGGCCCGGGGGGCCGCTTCGAGGCCCGTCCGGAGGGTCCCAAAGCCCCAGATCCCGGGAGTCCGGTTTTTGGGGGGGGGGGGGCGCCCGGGGGCTCGTAAAAATATAGGAAGAGGAATACATGTGTATATATATATATAGAGAGAGAGAGAGAGAGAGAGAGAGAGAGAGAGAGAGAGAGATCTATGTAGGAAATACGGGGAGGAGGCTGGAACGAGGGGAGGAGGAGGGGGAGGAGAAGGAGCGGGAGCAGGAGCAGCAGGCAGCACCAGTAGGAGCAGGATAAGGCGTCGCAAGTCTAGTGTTGGTCGCCGACAGTGCCAGTTGGGAGGAGAAGAGGGCCAACCTGGATAGGGGCGTATATCCTTTCTCCGCACCTTCTCCCCTCGCCTGTTTCCTCCGCCTCCCTCTCTTCCGCTCCTTCTCTTCCGCGCTTTAGTTTTCGTCTCGCTTGGGAGGAACGGACGACAACGGTCCGGCGGCAAGACAGCTTGCCGACTCGTTTGTTTGTGGAAAAAATTGATAGGGGGCATATCCTAAGATCCAGTACGACATCTACGCCCGCGTGTCGCTGCTGTACGGCTACATCTCGTTCGTGCAGTCCCTCTGTTACTACGGCCTGGGCCACATCAACGTCGAGCTCAGGATGGGCAACGAATTCCATGAAAACTCTGGCCGCTAAACTCGCGTGCTCTCTGTTCCTGTGGGGGCGGGGGGAAAATTTCACGCTCTGCTCAGGGCTTGGTGGGTGGCCTACGCCACGGCGTTCGTGATCGCGACGCTGCTCGTGCTGCTCCTCAAGTTTGACATCGTGCCGAACGAGGCAGACAAGAACGACTGGTACCGGGCGGAGGGAAGCGACCCATCGGTGGGTTCGAGAGGGGGGTCAGCCAGAACGTGGGGTCCCCGGGGTGGTGTGCCCTGCTCGTCCGCCGAGAATTATGCCCTGTCGATCCAGGGCGCTGCCAGCGCCACGGGGGGCCTGATGCGCCCCCCTCCCCCCCCGTTTCAGCGCCGGGACGAGCGTGCGAATGCCAACGAGGGCAATGAGCATTCACCCCTTGTCAGCACAAGGCAACGCCAAGTTCAAATTCCGACGAGCATAGCAACAACGCGTCATTCATATGCAATTCCGCGGGCCACTTGGTTGTTTCTTCGTGCCGTTTGGGGCCTTGTTAGGGGCATCTTGGAGATTTCTTGGGGGCCCCTGAAAGCATCTTGGGGTCCCCTTTGGGGCCTCTTGGAGCCTCATGGGGGCCTTTTAGGCCGTCTTAGGGCGCTCTTGCGCCGTCTGGCCCCTTCAGAGGCCGTCTTGGGAGCCTCTCGGGGCTGCCTTGTGGCTCTAGTGGGTCCTCTTGGTTCGTTTTGGGGGCCTCTTGAGCCTCCTTGGAGTCTATGTGGCCCATCTCTCTTGCGCCGTTTGGGGGCCCTCTTCGGGGCCTCTGGGGCCGTCTCGGAGCCCTCTTGGAGGCTGCTTGGGCTGCATGGGTCCCCGAGAATCGAACAAGGCTAGAACGCGAACATATTACTACGCCCATTGGAAAAGCAATGTGTTTGGCCTCTGGAGGTGCTCCTGGGGGCCTCCAATGTGGCTCTCCAGGGCCGTCTTGGTTGCCTCTTGAGCCCTCTTGGGGCCATCTTGGGCTGTCTTGGGGCCGTCATTGGCTTTCGGGAAGCTGCATTCGTAGTCTTGAGGCCCCTTGGGCCCCCAGAAGGTCCGAGAGGCCGATATCATAGATGTTCCATACGTTGTGGTAGGTCTTTGGGCACCAGAAGGGGTGAGGCCACTTTGGTCCGCCGATGTGTCGCGCGACTCCGGGGAAGGTGAGGGAGGAGGCATCATCATGTAAGGGAAGGCAACCTGTAGCAGTCATGTGATATGGGACACACTGGACACGTTGCGTTGAGGCTTTTGCCAGAAAGCGCTACCGCTCAGCCTGTCACCTCCGGACGTGGACATGTTTTTTGTGTTGGGTGGCCCTGGTCCTGGCTCAACTGCGCGACTTCACGCTGATTGGCCCCAGCTAAGGTGCAGAACTTTACATACAAAAATGCTAGGTGGTCACGCCTGCTGGCTTCGATTTAGTTGTTATTGCCCACGGCCAGTCGGCCAGGGGCAACACACGCAGAAAGCAGGTGGTGAGCACGAGACCAGAGGGGGAACGCGTAGAGAAACGCGATGGTGCGTGCAATAAAAGCACGTCTCCAGGTAACCCCAGCCGAGGAACGTTTTCAGCTGCACAGGTACTCGACTACGCTGTGGCTGGGGCCAGCAGCTATCCTCCCCGCCGCCATCGCCATGTCCCTCGACTTCCGGGTGGAGTTCAACTTGACCGCCATCGCCTTTACGTGGTTCTGCTGCGCGGCATTTGCTGCAAGCCCCATTGATCCCCCCACGCTCCTTAGCACCTCGTGGAATCTTCGCGTGATTCGAACAAAAGAATATGTCGCGAGGTCCCCGCGAGCCCAGTCTCCATTCTGACGCGGCATCCTTGCAGATTCTGACTCTAGACCTCACGAGGGCCACTCATGCATTCTTCCCCCCTCTCCGAGCCTCGTTCCCTTTTCCCCTCATCGGTTCCCTCACTTTCTCCCTCTGCCCCCTCCTATGTCGCCTTCCTCTTCCCCCCCCCCCCCCTTGCAATTTCCCCCTTGTCCTTCCTCGTCTCTTCCTCTTCTCTTCCTCTCTCCTTCCCCCCTTTCTCCTCCTTCCCGCCCCCCCTCCTTATCCTCCGTGCCCCATCGATCTCCCCCTTCCCCGTTCCCGTTCGCATCCGCTCCCCCTCCTACCCTGGCCCCAAGGTTCTGGGTCTTCGTCTCGTATATCATGCAGCTCGTCTACACGATGCGCTTGCTCTGGATCCTCCAGCCGGAAAAGAAGGGCGTGGACCCAGATGATGGTTCTTGGAGCGAGAAAGTCCGCCCAGTTGTGTACTTGTCAGAAGATTGGTTGTGGTTAGTAGGTCGACCCTGCAGCGGCAATGGTATTTACCACTGTGTCATGTCCGTCGCGTTTCATGTCGTATTCATGTGTGGGGCATGGGATGTCCTCGTAGTGGACGTGTCTTCTCTTGGGTGTCCTCTGCACTCCGTCACGACTGCACCGTCTTGCTACCGCTGGCGCTCTTGCTCTAGCTTATACTACAATCTCCCGCTCCTGCGTCTACTCATCCGCCTCCTCGTTCTGGGCGCAGCTGAGGCCCCCAAAGTGTCTTGGTTCCCCAACCCCCAGCATCTTTTGTACAAGACTTTGGCTGCACTTGGCTCAAGGGTAGGGCTCAAGACAGCCCCCGCGCCCAGTACGCCCGCCCTGCCCCAGTCACCGACACCAGACGATGCCCGCCATGGCGCCCTCCCCGTTCGCGGGTGCGCCTGGACTCGAGCGCCCCTCGCAGGTGCCGACGGACGCGGACTCCACGGCTGACGAGACTGGCGCGACGCAAGGCTTGGCCGCCTTGCAGATGGGCGCCCCCGCCGACGCCAGGCAGCCCCAGGACGGCCCAGGAGGTGCCCCGGGGCCTCCCACCGTGCCGATCCGCTCGATCGCCGACGGGCTCCTCCGTGACTGGCTCGAGGACGACGTATTGACGCACTTCCCGATCGTCCAGGCCGCTGAGGCCAGCCAACCGTCTGCAGCAGAGGCGTCGTTTCAGCTTCCTACCGACAGGGCTGGCCTCGACAGCATCTTCACCAAGCTGGGTTACCACCTGGACTCGGAGGACCACTGGCGGGCGATCGGCTACGCCATGTACGAGGGTCCCGACCCCTCCGTCCAGCTCATTGCGAGCTGCCTACACACTGTGAAGTTCTTGTGCGGCCTCGTCAGTACCTCTGGCGGCTGGTCTCCGGCTGACCTCCAGAGGTGCGCGGAGGACCTGCCGGAGCTTCTGCGAGCCCGCCGCAAGATCAAGGCCAGCAAACTCCGATTCTGGAAAGAGCTGGGCAAGGACGGGCTCGAGCTCCTGGCCAACACGAAGGCTTATGCGGACAAAGTCTCGTACACCCATTGGTCCGACGTCCTCGCCACCACTCTGGCGCCGAACCTCGTGCCGACGTCCCGGAGCATCGCGGAGCTAGCGGAGAAGGGCGACGACCAGGTTTGGGAACAGCTCAAGCGGATGGCAGTCACTATGTGGACCCCCTCCGACGCCAACACTCTCACCCGCCTGCTAGCCTCCCTCAGGCGAGCTGGCTCTTTGATTTGCCCAGTCAGCGTACGCTTGATAGCCCCGCTTCCTCTTCGACCTTGCATGGACACCGCGTTAGATATTATGGATCTCTGGTGGTCCCCTCTCCTGGGAGATCGATGGGCGTCTATCGACAAAGGTTGCTTCTTCGTGCCTCATCCCTTCGAGATGGTGCTCCCAGGCTGGAATAGCCTCCGCCACACCCGGATGGGCCTCGCCGTCTTCAACTTGGCGTTCACAGGTGCCAAATCCGTTCCCAGGGTCATGACCTTCAAACCGGCTTTCCTGGAGCTGGGAGCGGTCTCCGGCACGACAGTGGACATGCTCGCCGCGAGCATCCCCACTTTCTACGCCATTTTGCAGAACCCACTCCTGAGCAATATCGTCTGCCGACCTCCGAAAAGAAGCTGCGCCAGCACGAAAGAACTCCCGCCGGTCACAGTGGACCTCCTCTTCCCCGATGGCGTCGACCAGCTCGCCCAGTTCCTGCATCTCCGGCATCTCCGTCGCCCCGTGTTCCCCGAGAGCATATTCTTCGGCAGTGCGTTGATGTACAGCGACCCCGACGCCATGATCCTGGAGATCAAGGGTCCCGCCTCGCTACACCACTACTGGCCATCCTGCACACAGTTTTTGGTTGTCTCGCAGAGCAGGGCGCTGGTCTACTCCGACGCTGCCTCCGAGACGTATGTGGAGGTCCTCGATCGCTGCCTGCGGGATGACCCCTTCTGCAGCAGCCACGGTGCGGAAGTCGAAACCGTCACGTAACGGGGGTCGAGCGGCGGCTATTCCTTCGGCCGCGGCTTCCGCAAACGCCGCGGCAAGGCAGAAACCGAAGCTCCGCATCAACGATACCGACACCATCGCCGACATCCAGGTCCAGGGGGAGGTGGGCCGGGAGGACAGGGACGTCTTGCGCCGCATCTTCATGCGCGCTTGCTCGGCGACTGAGCTGGCGCTCGCGGAGACCGCGCAGGACTGCGTCCCGAAGGCTGGGGAGTTTTACTACGTCGCCTCCCGGGACCAGTTCGCGCCCCCAGGTCGCCTGCGGATCCTGCTCCGCAGCATTGCAGAAGTCCGCAAGGTTCACGCAGCACTTCATCGGCGGACGGTCCGTGTAGGCACCGACAGCGTCGCCGTCGAGGTCATGAACACACCGATGCACTTGGGATCCTTGCTGGGAAACGGCAGGCGGTAATTAGCTGCTCGCGGCCCCAGAGGCTACCGCCCAGATTCGTGGCGTCTCTCCGTCCCTGGGAATGGGCTTGAAATTCATTGCACGAGCGGTTCTTGAGAGGGCGACTGGATCGTTGATGCCGTTTTTCGTTTCCACCCTGCTCAGGCGGGGCGGGGCCGCTGGGGCCACTCACAGCCATGTGCTACCCCCTCTGGCGCTGTTGATGTCGACCGACTTTTTCCTCCTCTTCCTGCATTTGTTTTTGGTGGTCGCGAACTGCTACCTGACCAGTCTCTGACAGCCAATCGAGATGACGTGCCTATTTCCATATACCGCCACTAGAGGCATCTACGCGCCCCCGGGCGAGCTGCCGCCGGACGCAATCTCCACGCCTGCCCTCGATATCCCGCGAACGGTTGCGTCGACGCCAGGGGGGGGGTCCAGGCAGGGCCAATTCTCTCTGGACGTCACGGTGACCCTGTGGATCGCGCAGGCCCTCGTCGCCACGAGCCCGGCGCGCCGCGAGGCCAAGGCCTCTCGCGCCCACGAGCTCGTCGCGAGGTCCGACGTCTGCCTGCTGACAGAAACTCACGGCACCGATGCTGGGAACGCCACCTGGAGGCCTCCATTTGGCACCACCGCCTGGCGGTCAGCCGGCGCTTCTCGCACGTCGCCCCGCTCGAGGTTCTTTGGCCCAGCAGGGCCGCCAAGCTCACGCTGCGCGGCCCCCATGGCGCCCTGGACATCATCGTATCTTCTTTCCCAGCGGGGGCGAGCGTCACCGAGCGGGATCTCTTCGGCGTGGGCCCCTCGATGCACGCCGCGCTCAGGACGTTCCCAGCCCTCCGGGCGCATCCGCGGGACCGCCCGGCTGGCAGGGTTTCCTCGATGGCGAGGGCGCTGGCCATCGTCGGCGGGGACATCAAACATGTGGCTTCACCCTGCGACAGGACCGCCATCGCGTCGCAGACCCCCGCTGGCAGGCGGGCCAGGGGAAGGAGAGCCACTTCCAATCAGTTCTTGCTCGCCCGCACGGGTTTCACGAACTTCTTCATGCTGGGCCCGCGCATGCGTCCGCATCCTCTCGAGCGCGGCTGGGCAGGCTCTACATAAACTTCCACACCTCGGAGCAGCTGGACCGATGCCTCCGTGCCTCTGCGATGGAATGGCGCCCTGACTTGTCGGCGCACAGGGCGGTTCACGCATCTCGCAGCGCGATCCGCGAGCACGAGCGTCCAGTGTCCGGACGCGCCCAGCGGCGCGACGATTCCCCCCGTCTAATGGCTTTGGACTGCCACCGCAAACTCCAGGAGAAACCGCTGGCATTCGCCGATCCGCCGACCACAGCTGTTCAGAGGCTCCATCAAAGAAGTGGCCCGTCGGCTAGACGCCACGATGGGCAGGCCTCCTGCTGCCGTGGACCTTGAAGACTGGCTTGGAGTTGCGATGAATTTCGTACGGAACGTCGAAAACGGCATGATGGGAGGTATTTCTTCTTACATCGAGCGTTGCCCTCGCCTGGCCGAGCTGATGGGCAGCCCGTGCGACATTTGGGGCAATCTCACAATTCGCCTTCGGCCCGTCAGGGACCGCGCGATCGAGTGGGCCAGAGAGCACGCCCGTGACGAGCTCAACAAATCGCACGCCGACCTCGTCAGTGGCAATGTTGCAAGGGCCACTCAGGCGAGGCAGAAGAACCTGCGCCTGATCTTCTGGCTCGCTCCTGCTAGAGCTGGTTGCATGTCGGCTGCGCTGGCCAGACATGGCCAGATCCTGATACGCGCCGCCGAGATGGCCGCGAAACTCAGGGGGCACTGGATGGGCGTTTCCCGCGCGAAGGGCATCGAGCACGCACTCCTCGAGGAGTGGCTCAAGGAGGACGCTAGCAACAGGGGCGACGGGGACACTGTCGATGCGGCCCCTGCGCAGGACCGCCTCCGCAGGCGCCACGACTGGCGCGCCATTCGACATTCCAACAATTCCCCCCCCAGGCCCCGATGGCATCAGTTTCCTCGCTTGGAAACGTTGCATCAAGCACCGCGGTTCTCTTCGACGCAGTGCACGTGCTGATGGACGACTCTGGCTGCGCGGCCATCGACGAGGAGTGGCCAGATTTCATTGCGAGCCTGCTGTTTCTGCTATCCAAATAAGCTTCGGGCACCACGGCCACATGCGAGGGCTACTTCGCAGCGGAGAACACGAGGCCGTTGAACGTGACGAACACCGATACTCGTCTTCTGGGGAGCGCTGTTCGACATCTCGAGGGGCCTGTCTTCAGCCCGAAGATTGTCGACACCCAGAGGAGGGGTTTCGTCGCTGGGCGTGGCATGCTAGCCAATCTGGTTGCCATCGAGGAGGCCATGGCGACGAGCGCGTGCACATCTGGCGAGGGCGGGGCGCTGTTCTTCGACTTCGCCGCCCCGTTCCCCTCCGTAGAGTACGACATGTTGTTCGCGGTGTTCCGCAAGTTCCGCGGGCCTGCGTGGCTGGCTAACTTTATCGTCTGCCTGCGCTGCCGCAGTTCGTGCTCCATCGCCCTGGGCGGCTCGCGACACGCTGGCCTCGACCTGGCACGGGCATCCGCCACGATTGCCCCCTGTCCAAGCTGCTGTTCACGGCGGCAGCGGACATCTTTCTTCGGCGTCTGTGCTGGCATTTCCCAGAAGCTCGAGTGCGCGCTTGCGCCGACGACACAGCCCCGGTGCACTCTGTTACCTTCCAGCACATCGGCAACGATCAGGACATGTTCCTGGAGTGTGAGCGGATCTCTGGCCTACGGCTAAATGTCAACAAGACCGCCATCGTGCCACTCTTTAGGTACGAACGCGACGAATTGCGTCGCCAGCTCATCCGGGAAGCCCCGTTATGGGGGGCCCTCCCGATGCAGGACAATGCGAAGTACTTTGACATGGTCGTCGGCCCTGGCCGCGGCGCCAGCTCATGGGATGCCCCCGTCAAAAACTTCGTCGACAGGGCCGTGCTCTGGGGACAACTGGGCGTTAGTCTTCTTAACACCTTCGTGGCCGACCAGGTTTTCGTTAGCTCAGCCGTCATGTTCGTCGCGCAGCTTGACCCGCTGTCGCGCTCCTTTGACGCGATCGAGCTGCGAGCGTGCCGTGCGCTATTCCGTGGCCCTAAGGATTGGTTCTCAGTGGATGCTTTGAAAGATCTGAAATCGATGATTTGCCCGAGAGCTTCCCCGACGTCCATTCCACCGCCCGCGTGGCGAAGGTCAGTGTTGCCAGGTTCGAGAACGCCGCGCACGGCGGTCTCCGGATACAAGCGCGGGCTCGGCAGCTCTACCGGCTGAGCCGCGACGCGGGGAATCAGACCCGGGTGGGGCATTTCCAGCAGTGCATCGACCAGAATTTCGTGTTTTCGCCCCGCGACGCCACCATTGAGCTGACAGCAGCCGAGCGGCAAGTGCGCGCGGTGACCTCTCTCCTCGACCCTGCAAGCCCCGCTGCTCAGGAACGGAGCGGGTGGCAAGCGCAGGCTCCTCCTTTTTTTGTTCCCCTCCTTCTGCTGCGCAGCGCAGTAGGAAACGATGGGACAAATGGCAGCTCGACGTTGTGCCTGGCCGCCGCCCAGCGAGGTGGCTCAAGCTCTTGCCCCCGCCTCCCCCCTCCTCCCCCCCGTGTCCAAGCGTGTCAAATTCGCACTGCTTGGAACGGTTGGACCACCGCCCGCCGCTTCGGCAGGGCAGGGGGTTGCCTCTTTAACTGCCCGCGTGGGGAACACAGCATGCATCATGACGCTCTTCGTCCTACATGTCAGACCCTTTGCCGCCAGCGTCTCGGGTTCAGCCGTCCGCCAGCGGAGGAGTGTCTCAGCGATTTCGTGGGCATTCACCCCCACGAGCACTCTCCCTCCACGCACTGCAGGGACGGCAGCGCCAAGGCCACGGCGGCTGCGTTCCGGGCGATCGGGGTATTCGCGTTATTTAAAACGCACAACGCCGTCCGTCACGGTTTCCGGGCTGCTGATGGGGCCGACGCGTTCCGCGGGTGCGTCCGAGACGTGGCCTGTGGACACTCACGCGCACAGCATGTCGTCAGGACCGCTGTCAAGAGGCCCCGTCAGGAAGGCCAATAGCTTTCACACAGTTGTTTTTCGTATGTTTCTTGTTTATCCTTCCTTCCCCCCGCGGGCGGTGGCCAAAACATGGAAGGGATAATTTCCTGACAACACTTGCGTTTTGTACGGGGGTTCCCTCTCCCCTGTTTTTGGGCCTGCTCCCGGGGGTCTCCGCCTCTGTTCTGCTCGGTCGTATTTCGCAGCGCCGCTCGCTTCATATTATAAGCTGTATGTGATATCTCGGGTAGCCCATCCCGCCTCGCTATGATACGAATATGGAGTATGTTTGAACCATTGTTGTCCGTTGCCGCCTGCCTCTCTCTTTGCTTTCTGTCGCTTCGCTTGCACTGCAGCGGATATGTGGGCGCCCAGACAGCCGAGCAGTCGGGCGATGACCTCTGCGGTTTTTAAGCCAGCCCCAACGCCCATCGTTCGAGTCCCAGGGTGCGCTCGATGGTTCGCTTATCAGGTTGGCTTAAACGTTGTTCCCGGCATATGGCTGGTCTCCTCCTCCTTCTCCTCCTCCTCCTCCTCCTTCTCCTCCTCTTCCTCCTCCACCTCTTCCTCCCTCTCTTCTCATCCCGGTCTCACCGATACTATTTTGGGGTAAGTCGTATCGCTCCGCACTCGCACGAGTCTTGCTTGGGGCTGTTTTCCTCAGCGGTGGCGATAACCAGCGTTCAGTGTGTTGGTTCCGTTTGTGCAGTTTTCCTCTTTCTCTCTTCGTTGTCCCCTTCCTCTCTTCTGACCTTGTTTCGCCCGCTCGCCTGCCGAGTTGTTGTTGCTCCGCCGTTGGTCTGCGACGATTTGGGTTGTTGCCACGGGAGGGTGCTCGCCAACCGCCGTCCGAGGCCTCAAGCGCACTTGGGGCACCAGAGATCTCTAAGGAGCCTGAGACTGAGAAGGACAAAAAAACTGTTGCTGCACTTTCTTGCTTCTGCTTGCGCCCCTGCCTCTGGACTGCGTATACGTTTTCACGCACGGGCGTCTGCTCCTTGCCTCCCCCTTTCTCCCGCCCCTTCTTCCCCTACTCGCCCGGCTGTCCTCTCAGCCGGTAGGGTGCAAAGCATCCCTCACGGACGATTGGCCCGGTCCCTGTTGAATCGTCTGGCTGTGGTCCCAGTGGTGTCAGAACAGACCCGCCCAGCTGCCGCTGCCGCTGCCGCTGCCGCTGCCGCCGCTGCTCCCGTTCCTTCTCCTCCTTTCTGGGGGTGCGGGGGCGGCGGAACGGGCACGGAGGCGCAAGGCGCTCCCGCCGCGTCTGGGGCCTCAGTCCAGCCCCTGGCCCCTCAGGCGTCGGCGAGTCGTGGCTGCCGGCGAACTGGAAGCTCCCGACCCGCTTCCAGCACGTGCTCTACGTGGTCACTCCCCCGACGCAGCTGAAGCCCGGGCTGAACGACATCGTGAGGGAGATCAAGGATCCGTCGCATCCCGGCGCGGCGTGTAAATACCTGGCGTTCGTTGGACATGTGTATGTTTGCAATCCCAGATTCAAACCTTGCTTCCGATGTCAGAAGTGAAGTGGTGTTCCTTTTGTCCTTCCTTTTCAGGGGGCGGGCGGATACCCACTCTGCCTTCAACGTCTTCCTACTTCATATTTCTACCCTTTTCTTCCGAACGACGGGCAAGCAGAAACACAGCCGCGTCCAGCGCAGCACCCTGAGGGCCGGGATGCTCCAGCGAGCCCCAGCAAAGGCCCCGCTGCGCCGTTGCCGTCCTCCGAGAGCAAGGATCTGAGATTGCGAGCACCCTCAGAGAGGGAACCCCGCCAGCGGCTGCGCGCAAGAACCGCGCCCGAACCCGCCCGCTCACTCTGCAGTCCTCAAGCAGACAGCCAGTGAAGCAACGTCCGGGGGACCTTTTCCCCTTGTTGGAGGGTCTCGATATATATATATATATATATATATATATAGAGAGAGAGAGAGAGAGAGAGAGAGAGAGAGATAGATAGATAGATACACAGCGTCGTCTGGTCGGCAAAGGGAGCCAGGGAGATCGGCGAAGGAGTTCGGTGTATAGACCCTCCTGCGTGTCCCACGCGTTGGGCAGCTGAGGCGTCTATACCCGAGGAGCAAACAATCACGTAGACATAACCTTTCGAAGTGCCGCGCTGATTTCTTGGGTGGGCGCTGGAGCCCCCTCCCTTCAGCGCAGGGGCGGCGCCAGAGGCGCCCCCAAGGGGCCCCGGCGACGATCCGAGGCACCCGCGTGGACCTCCGAACGCTTACGTCCGTGCCACGGCTTGTTCCCCGAAGTCCAAGCCGAGCCTCCCTTGGCCTGGGCCCCGTGGTGCCATCCTCGCGGGTGCTCGCGATCTCGAAGGAGGGGACCGTGGAGCCGGCGCAGGGCCCTCGGCGGCGAGGGGGTGGGCGGTGGGGAGCGGGGGGGGCTTCGGCCGACTGTGTCCAGCGATGTCCACGCCAAGCCAGGCCCAACCCATGTCCTCAAAGGAGCAGGGGGAGGAGGGGCGAGGGGGGCGAGGAGGAGGAGGAGGAGGAGGGAGAGGAGGAGGAGGAGGAGGAGGAGGAGGAGGAGGAGGAGGAGTAGGAGGAGGAGGATGGAGGATGGAAGATGGCGGATGGAGGATGGAGGATGGAGGATGGAGGAGGAGGAGGAGGAGGAGGAGGAGGAGGAGGAGGAAGATGATGATGATGATGATGATGATGATGATGATGATGATGATGATGATGATGATGATGATGATGATGATGATGATGATGATGATGATGATGATGATGATGATGATGATGATGATGATGATGATGATGATGATGATGATGATGATGATGATGATGATGATGATGATGATGATGATGATGATGATGATGATGATGATGGTGGTGGTGGTGGTGGTGGTGGTGGTGGTGGTGATGATGATGATGATGATGATGATGATGATGATGATGATGATGATGGGTTGCTCTCGAACTGTAATCGTAGATCGAGGGAGGGCCGTGCGGTCTGTCTGCAACCGCGACGGCTCAAGCCTTTTCTGTGAGGGCCCCAGGAGGCCCACTCGCGAGGGCTCGTGCATGCGCCCAGTGGCTCGCGGCGTGACGCTCGTCGCGTTCCACGCCTGCGCCGCCTGGCTGGCCCGCCTGTGGGAAGGCGCCCGACCGCCGCCGGCGGGGCCAGTGGTCCCTGAGGCGCCGCGGCAGGCGCCTGCTCCCGCGCCGCCAGCGCGGGGCTGCCCGGCGGCGTCGCCGCCGCTCGCCGTGCAGGTCGAGGACTTCTGCGCGGCGATCGCCCAGTGCCCCTCAGCGGTGGGCCAGCCTGCCTGGTACGCCTGCCCCGACCCCTGCCCGGCCTGCCCCGAGCCGAAGTCTGGGCGCTGGTCGTGGGGCGGCGAGCTGGGCTTCGGGCTGCTCGCGCTGCTGCTGTGGGAGGTGATCACCCGTTGCGTGGCCGCTGTCTGCGGCCTGGCGCGCCGCTTCGTCTGCGGCTGGTGGAGCTCGCTGCGCGGGCTGCCTGCTGATCGCACGCCGACGCTCTCGCTGGAAGACGTCCAGGACCGTAGGCTACCTCGTGGACGCGGACGGGTTCTGACGCCGGATGAATCTCGGAAATGAGGTGCTTGTGTCGCACGCAGTTGCAACGTTTGCACGCTGCCGTGGTCACGCCTGACCGCGATCTCTTCGTGGAGCACTTCACCGCTGACAACGCGGACATCTCGGCTTGGCATCTGTGCGGTCCAGGAGGAGCCACGCCGGCGGCGGCCATGGGTCAGCCGATCTATGACTTCCAGCCGCCGCTGTCGGTCGGGGAGTTCTTTGCCTTCACGGCGGAGGCGGACCGCCTCATCCTGGCCCACGACGATCAGCTTGGAGTTGGTGGCGGCGCGGCCATCGGAGGCCCCGCGCCCCCAGGGGCTGCAGGTGGCGGTGGAGGCCTTGGAGTGGCGGGGGGGGCAGGAGGCGGCTTGGCGGCTCTTCTCGGAGGGGGCGGAGCGGCGGCAGGAGGAGGCGGCGGCGTTGCGGCTGGGGGCGGAGGCGCTGGGGCGGTGGTGCCTGCGGGCGCTGCTCCCGGTGGAGCCGGCGCTGGCATGGCGGGTGCCGCCTTGGCGGCCGCAGGCCCCCCGGCCGCGGCCGCAGCGGCTGGTGGCGGACCAGCGGCAGCAGCTGGGGCCGCGGCGGGCGGAGACGGACATGCTGGGCTTGCTGCAGCTCTCGCGGACGGTGGCGGCGGAGGTGTCCTTCATGCACCAGCTCCAGGGGCGGGGACTGACCCCTCGGACTGCCGCGCGCTGGCCGTGCGTTACGACACGAACGGTCAGAGGCACAGGTCCTTCGCGGACGCCGTGGCGATACTGGCCCAGGCCGAGTGGCGCGACTGGCCCGTGCCAGGGCCGCGAACGGTGGCTTGGGTTGCTCGCTTCATGCTCGAGAATGGCGGCAGCGCTCTTGACCATCACGTGCAGTGGAGGTCGAACATCAGGCTCAGGCTGGACGACATCACGGTCTCGACCCACCAGGAGTTCAGCAAGATCTTCGAGACAGCGCTGTGCTATGATCAGCTGGACGTCAGCAACCTCGGGGCCCTGGAACTGGTCGCTCGCCAGTTGCAGCTGTGCGAGGAGCGCAACCGCGACAAGATCCTCGGCGCTGAGCTTGGTGACGACTCCCACCGAGACGAGCACTGCTACTCCACGGGCATGGCCACTACTCGGGGTCTCATGGTGGCGCCAGAGCTCAGCACTTGGATCAGAGAGCAGATCTCCCGAGAGAACGCGATCGCCAAGGAGCGGGGGAAGGCGAGAGAGGAACGCTCGCTGGCCCGCCCAAAGAAAGGGGCCAAGGGTGGCAAGGAGGGCGAGTAGCCCCCGGCCGCCCCCTCACGGATTCGGCTGCCTGCCGCTCGTTGGCCCCGGGCTAGCAGGCTTTTCTTTTTTCGGCTGCTGCGGGATGAGTCGTCAGCGCGACGTGTTCCCGCCCCCTTCTCTACCACTACCTCAGCGCGGAGGTGGCCGCTGTCGAGCAGTCGAACGCCGTGCTCTCCGACGCCTTCATGCGCTTGAATGGGCGAACGATGGCACCCACGCCCTCAACTTCCTCTCTGGTCGCGGTGACGTCGCAGCGGGGCCGCCTTCAGTTATGCAGCAGCCCTGTCTCGAGCACCTGGAGCACAGCTACTTCGCCGCTGGAGCCCGCCCTGCTGACGCCCACCCCCGCGGGGGCCATCGTGAGCTCTGCGGCTCCGCCGCGATGTGCGGAGAGACTTCAACTACCGTCGTGCCCAACAGCAAGGACCTCGTGTCCTGGCCAACCGGGGGAGCCGTTCCTGTCGACCTTGGCAGCGCTCTCTCGCCTGAGCACTCCTCCTGGCTGGGGGACTTGACGGCCAAGGTGCGAAGACCTCTAGCTGCAGCGACGGCTCTGCGGTCTGAGCTCGGAGTCCATCATCCTTACATAGACGCCGCCTTCCGCCGCCAGCGCACCTGCGCCGACTTCGCGCAGGGGATGCTGGGGCGCGGGATGGTTCGCCTGGTACCCACGCAGGGGGGGGGGGGGCACTGTCGGCTTGTTCTTCGTCAAGAAGAAGTCAGGGCAGCAGCGGATCATCTTCGACACGCGACTGGCCAACTGCGACTTCGAGCCGGCTCTTTCCACGCACTTGCCGTCTGCCTCGGCCTTCGCGAGGATGGAGACCAGCGAGTGCGACGTGGTCTGGTGCTCCGTGGGCGAGGTGCAGAACGCCCTCTACGCCATCTCGGCGCCCCCGGAGCTGGGGTCCTGCTTTCGCCCCCCTCCTGTTCGGGCTGGTCTGGTAGGGCGGCCGCATGTGGGCGGAGTGCGGCCTGCGGCGGCGGCGTCGCTCACGCCTGTCCTGACAGTGTTGCCAATGGGCTGGAGCTGGGCGCTGCACCTCTGTCAGCTTGCGACGGAGGAGGGCCTCGCTCGCGGGGGGCTCGGCGCGGGCGCCCTGGTCAAGGACCGCGCCGCCTCTCGGCTTCTTGGACCTGACCGCCCGCTTGGTGTTGCAGGCTACGTCGGCAACTTCATGGTGCAGGGTGCCCCGAAGTCGCGCGTCACCGAGGCAGGGCGGCAGGTCTCCTCGAGTCTCGAGGACCAGGGCTTCGCTGTGCACGGCCACGCCACGTGGTTGATGTTGCTGCAGAGAGCTACCCTGTCCATATTCAGCGCTGTTTACGCCTTCGTGAAGAAGCACAAGCACGAGGTCACGCCACTTTGGGACTCGGTGATCGAAGAGCTTGAGCTTGTCAGGGACCTGCTCCCGCTGCTGGTGGCCCACGCGGACGCGGCCTGGTACCCTTCAGTGACAGCGAGCGACGCTTCGCCGTGGGGCTGCGGCGCGTGCGCGCGCCGCGCGGACACCGACTTGGTCGCGCGCTGGGGCCGCACGGCGGAGAAGTGGCGCTACAAGCAGGGCGCCGCTGCTGCTCGGAGCCACGCGTTCGCGGCCGACGTTGCAGAGACCGCCTGCGCGGATGGCTACCCCGACAGCCTTCGCCAGGCCGATGAGTACAAGAAGTCGTACGACATGATCGACGAGAGCTTCACTGACGCGGAGGCTTGTCCTACATCAAGCGGCAGCAGGAGCTGGGCGGGGCCATCAGACACCGAGAAGATGATCCTGATGGTGAACTTGCTGAGCCTCTTCCAGCTGCCCCGAGGTTCCCAGCCCTCGACACGCTCGGCCCCTTACCAGATGCGTGCCCTGGTGGCGACCCAGGGGTGCTGGCTGGTGGGGCTGGCAGCGCCGTCGGCAGCGGCGGCAGCAGCACGGCGGACCCGGCGCCGCCGATCATCGCAGACATCGGAGCCCCCCCAGGACTCGCCCCACATGACGTACCTCGAGAGCCGTTCGGTGGCGGACGCTATCCGAAAGGATTACTTCAAGAAGATGAGGTCGTTTCTCGAGTGGGCCCTGGAAGCGGACCTTGACTGGGGCAGTGCGCAAGACCTCGACAATGCGCTGGCCCTCTACTTCGACAAGCTCTTCTACCTGGGCATGGCGGGCGATGTGGCCAGCAAGACTCTAGCCGCGGTGATGTTCCACTACCCAGAGGTGGGCCGATATGGAGATCAGACCATGCCACGCTCGGTTCGAGCTCTTGCGGGCTGGGCGAAAGTCGCCCCGCGCAAGACACGCCTGCCCGTGCCGCACGTCCTGATGCTGGCCATCGTGGGTCACCTGCTGTCGTGTCGCCTGGTGGAGCAGGCGGTGGCTGTCCTGCTCTCCTCCCGCGCGTACCTGCGGCCCGGAGAGTGCGACTCGCTGACAGCGCTCCAGCTGGTGCCACCTGTGGCCATGGCGGGCCCTCAGGCCTTGTGCCGGGGCCTGCTCTTGGGGCCTGTCGAGCTGGAGAAGCCCACCAAGGTCG